ACCCCACCCCACCCCCACCTCAGGCCTCCAGGCTCCTTTCTCACAGGCTGGGCCTGGAGCTTTGGTCCAAGTCTAAGGTAATGCAGGAGGGGAGAGAAACTGAAGTCTGGGTCCAGCACACTCCAGGCCCAGCCGTAATAATCTTTCCTGGGGCCACCCCTTCCCTCTACTCGGGTACCAGAAGCGTTACAGAGGGAAAGGTCACGGACACCGCAGACACTGGCCTTCACACCCTCCGAAGAGCTGCTCAGAACAGGGCTGAGAGCACGAGGCCGTAAGAGCAGCTCTCTCCCTCAATCCCAGGTGCTCTCCAGTAACTGCTTTGACTGCCCTCTGACACCCTCTCTGTTTTGTTTGTTTTTAACTTCTAGCCTGAGTCTCCTGAAGTTTATGAAGATCCTTGTCTGGATGGAGTGTCTCTATCCAAAGAAAACAAAATATAACCACAAAAACAGACTGTTTTAAGCCAAAAAGAACGCAAGGGGACTCTGACGACCAGCCAGGTTGCCAGCTAAGCAGCAGTGCCCGCGTGCCCCCGTGCCCCCAGCAGGAGGTTTTTGCAGCCTAATCAGCACGCTGCACGGCAGCCGCACTGGGAAGGGCCTGATGAGAGAGCGCTGAGGCTGCCCTATGGGCCACATGTGAGGAACCCGTCTCCGTTGGCGTGGCCTCTAAACTCTGAGTGCAACAGAAAGGCCAGCCTCCCCTTCCTCAGCCTCCCTGAGTCTGAGCCACACGGCTCCAGGGCCGACGCAGGGTGGCCCCGGGGTCTCACCTTATCGACAAGTCGCTGAGCAGAGGCATCGGTGATTCTGTTGAACACTTTCTGCACCGCGGGGATGCTGATCAGAAAGACGGGCCGCACGGTGGTGGCCAGGGAGACCAGTAAGTGACATGCGGACAGCAGCAACTTGTCCTGGACCTGGAGATGGAAGAGAACATGTCGGCTCGCTCGCTCTCCTGGGAGGCTGCCATTAGAAGAACTTTAACAAGGCAGCCACAAGCCAAGTACGGCGCCGGGAGGCATTATACCACCTAGGCTCTGTACCAAAGAAGCTTCCAGGGACGACGCCCAGCAATGAGGGACCCAACTCTGTGCCTCGTTGAGGCTCCTGACCTCAAGCCGGAAGCGCCCCCCTCTGGTTCCTCTTGTCCCTAGTCACCGACACGTCTGGACTCCGTCACTCCTCAGCTCTACAATCCCTCGGCAAATTCCTTGGCATACCATTCAAACTACTCGGGATTGTTCATCTCACTCCTCTTTGTTCCAACCAAGCCAGTCTTTCTCTCCACCCGCCTTCCTGCACCCCACCAGTCACGCCAGGTTCTCCTGCTTCCTCCCCTCGGCATGCCAATCTAAACCCTGGTTCGAGGACCATCCGTCCTTTTCAAGTTAGCAAAAGAGAAAACTCTTTATAGATAGGACCTAATGCTGGTAAGACTGGTGAAAAAAAGCACACCAAAGAGTCATGGGCATGCAGAATTATTTTGGAAAGGAAGATTATTAGAATTTTCTAGAACCACAAACTATCCCTAACCTTTAATCCAATCACTTACTCTAAGAAAATCACCCAAAAGGATAAAGCTAAGTTCAGGAGTACATGCACTTCAGAATTATCTAGGATAACTTTTTTTCAAACAGAGGCAACTTTAAAGTCCAGCAATGGCTAGGTAAATTATAAATTATATAAATCCCCCTCATGGGACATTGTAACTCATTTATAACAAACTCAACAAAAATGGGCAGAATGCTATGTGTGATTAAAACTACAAAAAGACAAACATCTATATGCCATATAATATAAATTGGTGGTCTTCTCAAAGGACAACTGACTAGAACCTACAAATTTACTTGGATACACCTTTGACCCAGCAAATCCACTTCCCGGAATCCGTCCTACAGGGATATACACACCAAGAACTGACTTCCATCAAGAGGAAAATTATAAAACATCCCCACTACAGAATAGCAGTGTTTTGGAGAAGGGGACTAAAGAGTATCACAACTTTTTGGTCTATAAATTTGAAAGGTATTTGGGGCGCCTGGGTGGCTCAGTTGGTTAAGCGACTGCCTTCGGCACAGGTCATGGTCCTGGAGTCCCGGGATCGAGTCCCGCATCGGGCTCCCTGCTCGGCAGGGAGTCTGCTTCTCCCTCTGACCCTCCTCCCTCTCATGCTCTCTCATGTCTCTCATTCTCTCTGTCTCAAATAAATAAATAAAATCTTTAAAAAAAAAAAAAATTTGAAAGGTATTTTACATTTTCACAATGAGCATATATTCATGTGGGACTTGGCTAAAAAAATAAAGTTATGTTTGAATTTATGTGGCCCACAGTTCAAAAGGAACATTTGGAATGACACATGGTTCTCTCACAGCGGTGAGAATTAAGAGTCTAATACCAAGCAAGATTTTGATTCTATAGTAAGTGGGTATAGGAACAGAAGGACAAAGAGTCAGCTACAAAGTACAACGCCTGCTGTTCCAGGACCTTGGTGCTGATCAGAGGTGTGACTGCATCCATGGTGGTGGAGATGAGCGTAACAAACTGCTGTGTGTTCTGCCGATGAGCTTCACTGCAATACTGTGCTAGCCAGTGAGAGTAAGCCTGCAGAGCAGCCAGGGACTGAGCGTGCCTGCGAAGGGGAGAGAAGATGCGACTTTAAAGGTCAAGGTCAAATATATTAGCATTGAAGGAAGAATTCCACCCAGTGCATTTACTGTTCTAAGACACAGGTGATGGTGCAGAAATCATTTACTTGCTCAGGTAGGACCTGAAAATGAAAACTCATTGTCTAAACCTTACCACCACTGCCTCTAACACAGGAGACAGTCAGCCCTCTAAGGAGCTGTGGCTCCTTTTGATGGAGAATGCACTTTAGAAACCAAGAGCCTGGGTCCTCAGGGGAGCATTCTTTCTGGGGTCTCACTGCTCCTAGGGCCTTTTAGGCGACAGAGCTAGGATTCAGGCTGACACCACGTGGAAATCAAACTGAGCATCAACTCAGGAGGGCAAACTGACCTCAAGTGCCTCCAGATATGATACAAGAACAACACATTGCCACCTATCTACTGTTCTTACTAAAAATGTTAAACATCAATCTCATACAGTACAAAAACTAGACAAATCCAGATTTTTTAAGATTTTCTTTAAAAAAAATAAGGTCTAAATCTCCAAAAATTCAGTTTCTCTTTTCCTCTCTTCCTCTCTTTTCTTCTCTCCCTCTCTCCCCTGCCCCCCACCAACATGCACAATCTGGGGAGCTGGTCTAGATTACAGAAGGTAAATGTAATACATGATTCATGATTAGTTAGGCCTTGGATTAAAAAAAAAAAGATATAAAGGACATTTCTGAGATGACTGGGAAAATCTGAGTATGGAAAATATTTTATACATACACATACACACACACACACACACACACACACACACACACACCCTTAAAAATGCTACATATTGGGGCACCTGGGTGGCTCAGTCGGTTGAGCATCCCAACTCCTGGTTTCGGCTCAGGTCATGGTCTCAGGGTCACGAGATCCAGCCCGGCACAGTGCAGTCTGCTTGAGATTCTCTCCCTCTCCCTCCACTCATGTGTGCTCGCTCTCTATCTCAAATAAATAAATAAAATCTTTTAAAAATTGCTAGATATTACTGTATCCATGAAAGTCTTTGAGTGGTGATAATGGTATTGTGGTTATGTAGGAGGATGACCTTGTTCCTAGAGAAACATGCTGAAGGGTTTATAGGTGAAGTGACATGTTGTCTGCAATTTACTTTCAAACAGTTCACCTAAAAAATTTTTTAAAGTGTGGGTTCACATGTGTATACAAAAAGAAAGCAAAAGAAACAAAAGCCAACGGGGAAAATATTTATAATTGATGAATCTAGTTTGAGAGTGTAAGGGTGTTCATTCTATTTTTTCCCCTTTTCTACAGGTGGTAACTTTTTCAAGATAAGAAGGTAGGTAAGCAAAGGTATTAAGTACCTTAAAGTAAGAAAATGCTGGTAATTCATAGTGACCAAGCAGTTATTTTGTATTTTGTATTTAGAATGCATTGATCGTTTTACCCTTCAAGCTTTGAGTACCAAAATTAAGAAAAAGGACATCAAAGTGTGGCTTCAGGGTCTAGGAATTTCAGTCACTCTATCGAATTCACAGAGCTCCGTAAGGCTGAGAAGGGGCTCTGAAACTTCCTGAAATTGTGTGCAAGATGTTATATGTTTATGAGCAAATTAGCATTCTTCTCGGCAGAAGCTTCACAGCTTTCTCTAAATTCTCAAAAAGGAAAGCTATATATATACACGCATACACACACACTCTTTAAAAAAAAAACCAACCTAAACCACTATAGTAAATAAGACTATATCGTTTACCTAATTTGCAGCTCAAGAACTAGCTAGCACAGGGGTCAGCAGACTTTTTCTGCAAATGCCAGGGTGTAAATACTTTAGGCTTTGCAGGCCATACATACTCTCTCCATCCCAGATACTTGATGCTGCCCCTGCAGCATGAAAGCGGTCACGGGTGGTACGTAAATGAATGGGCAGGGCTGTGTTCCAGGAAATCTTCATCTACTAAAGCTGGCAGTGGGCCGGATGTGGGACAGGCCCTAGTCTGCCCACCCCTGCTCTGGTCTAGAGCAAGCCTTCTGGGCAGTGTGATCGCTGGGACATGGCCCCATCTCCACTCCCTATTCTTTTAGCCCTTCCACAGTCACTTTCCTAATGGCTCTCCACTGTTCAAAAAGCTTCTCCAAGTGTGGTCCCTGAATGTCCTTCAAAATCACCCCAGTTCCTGGGTCACACGCAAACACCCGAGGAGCCTCAGGCCATCCTGCTGTAGTCAGAATCTCTGAGGCATTCTCCGTACGCCACAGCTTCAGTCACTGGCCTACAGGATAAGGCTTAGGGCACTCGAGTTGTTCCCACCGTAGTCCTCCCATGCCTTTCTGGCCCCCTCTCCCACTGCACAAACCGCTCACCGCCTCCCTGACTGCGGGACCGTGAGACACATCTGTGTCTCAGTTCCTCCTGCTCTTCCCTCCTGAAATGCCCGCTCCATACATCCTCTGCTCCCAGCTCTCACCCGCCTGATGCGTTCCACTTACTCCAACCCCCTGCCCCCAGGCAATCCTCTCTTCCAGGTTTGGAGGAGGGAGTCATTCTCCTCTTCATGGCAACCACCACTGCTCCTTTGTATCTATAAACTGACTTATAAACTGGAGGACTCGGCCTTTCCCGAGAATGCACCAGCAGCCCACTCCGTACTTACACATCGATGAGATCAGGTTTCAGTACTGACGGCACAGCAGTTTCAATGTTGTACAATTTTATCTGAGATCCATACAGAGTGACTTTGACCAACCTGTTGGCAAAGAAATTGGTTAAGAGGAAACACTCAGCTTATGGACTAAAACAGACAAAATGGACAAGGTACCAACAAAGGTCCTGAGGACAGACATGTTTCCATCTAAACAAGAATCAAGACCAGACCTTCAACTTTATCCCAAAGATTTAATCTGAAATGTGCATAAAGATTTATACAAAGATACTAACTAAAGCATGACTTACAGAGCCAAAAAATTTTGAACACAAAATAAATATCTAACAGGTAGAGTATAATATACACCATAAAAGTAGTTAAGATGAACGTATTTTATGTTGTGTATTTTACAATGAAAAATTTGAGAGAAAGTAAATGTTTCAGATGGATAGCTATATGATAAAGAAAATACAGAAAGTGGTCACTGCAGAATCTAAGTGATGGGTATATATGGGTGTTCGCTCTACAATTTTTCCAACTTTTCTGAAGATTAAAAAATGTTCCTGTTAAAATATCTGAGGAAGGGGCAGGGAATGAAGTAAAAGCTTTTAGAACAAATTGAAGGGTTTTTAACTTCAAGCACAATCCTTTCAGAAGCAAGTTGCTGAGCCCACTGGCTGCCCAAGGGCTCACTGCATACAAACGAGCCTTTAATCCAGTAACTGAGAGCCAGCTCCATGGGGAAATGGAAAACGCCTCTTTCATTAGAGACGGACGTTCCTTTCTGGGCAAAAGGAAGAAGCTGGAAGCCCAGCGAAGTTCTGTCTGTGCCTGCTCTGTAACGAAGCTCTCTAACGGAGCAGGTCTGGGGCGGACGCCAGGGAAGACAGCGGGCATTCTTCTCCCGCGGTGCCCCAGTGCAGAGCTTCTCAAGCTTCACCGAGCTGAAGAACCCACTGGGGAGCTTGTTACTCTGCAAGCTCCCTGGTCCAACCCCACAGACTGACTGTGCTCGCGAGGAGGAGCCTGGAAATCTGGACCACACTCTGAAAACTGCTCCTCTCTGAAGGGAGCAGAAAGCAGGACTTCCCTAGAAAACCACAAGCTTGCATCCCAAAGCATGCAGGGTTAGGGAGCAGTCAGAAAATGAGGGTCAAAGAGCCAAGGGCTCTCAAGTGGGAAGTTCTGGAAGGGGCCAGCATGATGACCTAAGCGATGCACACACGTGCACCCGGCGTGTAATTCTCTAAACCGCTTTCTGTTCTGTGCCCAGTCAGAGTACACTTCAGCGGCGCTTTACCCTTTCAGCCGATAAAACTCAGTATCTGTACCTGCTGAGGAACAACTCCATCCCCCCAGCCCCAAGCCCGGCCCCGCCACTGCCCTTTCTCTCAGGCTCTGACGAGTCTCTGTACCTCCTGTGAGTAGAATCACACCGTGTTCGACTTCACATCTACAGCAGCCTTTCGTGCTGTTCCGCACTAAAAATGGACTGCTAAATGTGTCTTTTACCATTTCTACATTTAGCACTTTCACTAGGAGGCTTGTTGTGTGTAACCTGTAAGTGAAAAGCCAGCTCATCACACTGACTATGAAGATGACGTAGCCATAACAAAGAGCCTTCTCTCATACTTTATTCTAAAGGAAGACAAAAGAGCAAAGTATCTTTAAGTACTGGGCCTGCAAACCCAAGCAGTGCAGAAAGATGTACATATAAGGACCTAGAAAATACCGATGCAGGGACTCTGAAGTCTGAAAAAATATGGATTTCAGACAGGAAGAAACCATCAGCGGCAACAGGCCCCGCCAGGAAGGAGAGGAAGAAGGACGCTGGAGGCAGAAGCTCTGTGGTCCGGAAAGAGCACAGCAGGTGGACTCAGGAAACTGGTTACAATCCACGTGTTCCCTCTTGTGAACAGTGTGACCTGAAGCAAGGCACTTACCATCTCTGGCCCACAGTTTGCTCACAGATAACATGACCATCCCGTCCCTCAAAGTAAAGCATGAAATAAAATGTGCAAAACCACTTTTGAAAATGTCCTACTACCACATGCTTTTATTATTATTATTAATCTGGCTTTTAAAGATTTACTTGAAAACTCAGTTATCTCTGCTTTTAAGCTAAGAGTAACAGTTAAAAAAAACTTTGGTGTGCAAGTCACTAGGCTTGGGGCTTGGTTTCGCTGTGTGTTACCAATGATTTGGCTACTGGGCCAGTGAAAGAGTCCGGTGTCCCAACTTCGGGCTGGACCCACATCCACCCAGTTTTGATCTAATCAATCCACCAATTACCTTTAAACAATCTGAACCTCCTATCATATTTGAAGCATCTGACTTTTTTTTTTTAATTTCTTATTTAAATTCAATTTAGTTAACATACAGTATATCATTAGTTTCAGGGGTAGAATTAAGTTATTTATCAGTTGCATGTAACACCCAGTGCTCACTACATCAAGTGCCCTCCTTAATGTCCATCAGCCAGTTACCCAATCCTTCCACCCACCTTCCCTCCAACAACCCTTAGTTTGTTTCCTAGAGTTAAGAGTCTCTTATGGGGGGCACCTGGGTGGCTCAGTTGTTAAGCATCTGCCTTCGGCTCAGGTCATGATCCCAGGGTCCTGGGATCAAGCCCCGCATCGGGCTCCCTGCTCTGCAGGAAGCCTCCTGCTTCTCCCTCTCCCACTCCCCCTGCTTGTGTTCCCTCTCTTGCTGTGTCTCCCTCTGTCAAATAAATAAAATCTTTTAAAAAAAAAAAAAAAAAAAAGGAGAGTCTCTTATGGTTTGCCTCCCTCTCTGTTTTCATCTTATTTTTCCTTCCCTTGCCCTATGTTCATCAGTTTTGTTTCCTAAATTCCACATAAGTGAGATCGTACATTGTCTTTCTCTGACTTATTTCACTTAGCATAATACTCTCTAATTCTATCCACATCATTGAAAATGGCAAGATTTCATTCTTTTTGACGGCTAATATTCCTGTGTGTGTGTGTGTGTGTCACATCTTCTTTATCCATTCATCTGCCAAGCATCTGACTTTTTAAGCATACGAGTTCCTGAGAGGGGAGCAGGGAGGCCTGGGTAGTGGGAAGTGGTCCGTAACAAATACAGCTATAAACCCGAGGAGGGCCCCAAGGGGAGGGGTAAGGAATGAAGGCTGCTGGTGGAGAGGCTGGGAACCACTTCTCGGGTCAGCGTTAACTCCTCAGGACCTTAACAGGACTGGGAAAAGTCCCACCTCTGGCATCTAGCTGCCTACTTGGAAGAAGCCAACTGACTTTGTCTGTCCTTCGACTACCAGGCCTTTCCGACTGTCTCTTTACCCTGTGGGCAGAGACGTACGACTGACCTCACCTGGTTTCTTCTGAGGCAAGTCCTGTCTTTTTGTCTACAGACCCGACTTTCGACAAAGTAACAGCTCACATGTGTTGTCTGCTACGTGCCAGGCACTGTGCTAAGTGCTTCCTCTCATTAATTCTCACAAAAAGCTACAAGACACCAGGTCCCCTCCATGTTACAGACAACAGACCTGAAGTTCGCAGAGGTTACGTGGCTGCTCCATATGCACCTTGAGCCTGGCAACATGCCGCCCGCACACAAGAAGGAATGACTGGGCTCTGAGGGAGGAAGGGCGCCACGACGGGAACGCCGCCTACCTCTCCACGACCGTGAGGGCGTCGCTGAACCGCGCTGCAAACACGTCTCCGATGAAGTACTCGGCCAGCCGGCCCACGGCCTGCAGGAGGGAGCTCAGGTCTCTCAGGGAGCAGTGCAGTCGCCGGCAGTCGTTCTCCGCAGTGATGTTCAGCCTGTGTCCTGAAACAGAACACCGCCAATGGTTTCCCACGGGCAGAAGGTGCCGTAGGTACCACACCGGCAACCGCTCATCCAGGCAAGCTAACCAACTGCCGAGGGGCGCCTGGGTGGTGCAGTCGGGTTAAGCACTGGACTCTTGATTTCAGCTCAGGTCATGATCTCGGGGTCATCAGGCTCCACGTTCGGCAGGGAGTCTGCTTGAGATTCTCTTTCTCCCTCTCCCTCTGTTGCTCCCCCCACCGCACGTGTGCAAACTCGCACACACTCTCTCTCTCTCTCTCAAATAAATCAATCTTAAAAACAAAAACAATGTGAAACACAGCAACCCACAGGCTGCTTCCCAGTAACAAGCCAGGACAGCAGGGCCTGTCTCCCCCCAAACCTCGGGCCAGAGTGTGTGAACACAGACGGAGCACCTGATGTGATTCCTCTTGACCCAGAGGTAGTGACACCACCAATTTTACACCCAAGGAAACACACGCAGGGCGGCCCAGTCACTTGCCCAATGTGGGTCATATTTCTGGGGCAGAACTGGTGTCCCAGGCTAAGCCTCTACAACTGCAAACCTGCTTGCTTTCTACACATGGCCCTGTCACAGAATGAAATCTCCACGGGCCGACAGGCAGGATTCACCTCTCTTCAAAGAACAGGGTGTGGTCAGCACTCCACACCCCAGAAGGTCCCAAGCACAGTCTGGAATAAAGGCACAGGGCCTGGATTCAGAAGACACACGTGCCCTGTCGTTGCTGGCTCTGGGCCTCAGCCAGCCCTTCTGAGTCTCAGGTCCTTATCTTTAAAATGGAAAATAATGCTCCCCATCGAATTCACTAGTTTAAGGGCAGTTAGAATGCATATGAAACCCTGTAAACTATAAAGCATCATTCAGTGCTTGTAATAATGATATATAACAAAGAGCGTGTGATTTTCTAAGGCCTGAAGCTTTCTTTTCAATATAATTTCTTCATGCTGAGTGATGAGGATGCAAAGGTGAAGGACAAAAACATCTGCAATTCAGCCACCTCCTTGCCCTGTGGACCCCTCTTCACAAAGGTCCACAAAAGAAAGTGAGAACCGCTGGGCCCAGAGAGCTCACTCTGCGTCTATAAAGTCCTCCGCCCTCACCCAGTCGGAGGGAGGGAGACCCCAACCCCTGCCTGCGGGGCACCTGCAATACCACCAGCCCCCTCCCACTGCCACCTCAGGAGTTTCCTCTCTGTTAGGAGACAAGAACTGGCTAAAGGCAACCCTCCTCCCGCGGCATTCCACAAGCATCTTCCTAGAACCCGGACCTAAGCACACAGCTCCCCTTAAGCAAGGTGCCAAACCTCCTGGGGCTCTCTCCTGGCTCCATGGGAGAACCTGAACCCCCCAGCATCCACTCCAGGGCTTTCGTGACCTCACTGCCTCCTGCCATTCCCATTTCTCACCTGGACCCACCGGGAACCCCCGGGGCCTCAGGTCCCTGCCTGGACTGCCCACGGCATCCCTTGCACACTCTTACACAGTCTCCAGACTCACACAAGTCCCCTTCCGGGAGGCCTGCCCTCTGCACTGCCCAAAAGAAGGAACGCACTTCCCTCCCTTCCTGCATTCCCCTCCAGGGCACCTCATGCACAGGCAGATCAACTAAGGATCTACAAGTCTCCTCACCGACTAGGAACTTCCTCACAGGGAGGGGCTGTGGCTGGTATCCAGCATGGCGCCAGGTACAGAACAGGTGGCCACAATGAATGACTGATAAATACAACAGAACACAGAGCAAACGAGAGCAGGACCGGGAGTCTCGGGTGCTTAAGTTCCTCATATGGCCTCTGGGAATGTTCCCTTGATTATTTAAAGGTGACTACGGATAAGCAACACCTGTGGAGGTGCAAACAGCAAGGCTGAACACCTAAGAAGGTGCTGGGAAGTAGCAAGTTTAATGCCTCAGATCCTTCACTGACTTCCGAGTGATGAGGCTCGGAACAGAGTCGGTGACAGCCCCCAAGGGTGGACAGGATTCTGGAAAAGGGTGTGGGTCACATTCCGGGGAGCAAGAGGACAAAAGGAAGGGGAGACTCCAGGAAGGACCTTTCAGGGACAGAGCCAGTGACAAAGGCCGGCTTTCGCCTACCCCCCAAATCGCCTGTCCCTCCGGAGACTCACCACCCTGTGCAGGAAGCAGTGCCTCGATGCAATAAACACCAAGTGGGATTCTCAGCCTGTAGGCAGCCCTGCCCAGGCCATGGGGGTGGGCACCAAAGAGAGCGAGCCAGCTTCCCCCGGCAGAACAAGACCACCCCACACTGCCAGCCACACGAGCCCACGGAACAGACAGAACCAGGAGGTATTTTTGGTCATGTGGAGAGAACACTGCCTCTCCTCCTCTCGCAGCTAACAAAAGCACCACAAATACGCACCTTCTGAACGTCAAGGATTTTCAGGGTTACAGCTACGTAACGGACTCCCAGGGTAAATTGAGACCTGTTGTTCCTTTGCACACCAACCAAGCTTTAGGGCTGTGGGAATAAAGCCTTAAGAAAACTCTGCCCGGGAACCGGGTGTGGTGGTAGTATAGGCCGAAAAGAGAGGAGGCCAGCGTTTATTCCCCAGGGCAGCATGGCCAAGGCTCCGACTCTGCACTCTCCTGCGCACCGTACCTCCACCTTCATGGCCCTCACCCTCACCCATGAGGCTCCACCCTGCCCACTGCTTCTCAACTTATTCACGTACTTAACCCTACAACTAGGTACCCTTGTTTACCTAAGAACTAGATGCTTGAATAGCGTTTAAACATGAAGGGAAACATTTTGTGTTTCCCTTTTTAAAACCAAACGAAAATACCACCCTAAATTGGGTTTCCACTGGAGTACGGTTCCTAACAGTCATTAAGTCATCCCGAGCAGGCCTGCCCCCACTGCCCCCCGCCGCCAGCCCGTGCCCCTGAATCCACACAAATACACCTGAGGCAGGGCCTCCTCCCAGCACTGCCCCTTCGGCCTCTTCCCCGATGTGTCTCCAGGGAGTCTTCCATCTTTAAACAATGAGGGCAAAAAGTGTCCCCCCCAATTCCTTATGATCATCCCTGGTCCCACCCCCTGAGGGGAGAACACAAAACAAGCCTAAGCCTGCTGACACACAGCAGTCTTGGGGAGAGGTGAAGAAGCTTCTCCTCTTGGCTGAAATACACCCCTGGGTCCCTTCATTTCCCATGTCACCCTCCTGCTGAGAATCCTTGCCATCCTGATTGTTCCCCTCTAACCCGCCCGAATTTGTCAAAGAGCAGTACTTAGAATAAAAAACAGCTTGGGACTGCTGTGATTTTAAACTATTAGTTTGAACCATAAGAAATTGCTGATATTGGACCATTTCTGACCAACCAAAACTGCAATTCCATATAATTCAACTGAATACACATGTGCCATGTAAGGTTCACATTAGTGCAAACTGCTGCTTCTTTCCTTCCCGCTCTGTCTGCAAGGCAGGAAGTACCCCAAATCAAAGTCGCTGCCCCCACCCCCAGACCTAGAACCCTCGTACCACCAGCAGCACAAAATGCAGCAAGCAGCCACCTCAACTCGAGGGGCAGGCCTCAGCTCCCACTGAGAAAGCCGCTGCAAACCACCCACATCTTCTTTGGCTAAGGCTTGGATGTCCCCCTAATAGCAAAGAACAGCTGCGAAGGGGAACCCTCCAAAGGGAATTACTGCTGAGAGGTTTCGAGAGAGAAAAGACCATGGCCACACTGAAGTCCTCTCGCACATAAAGCAAGTCACCCTGAGGCTGTCGAGATGCACTCCTGACCACGTCCAAAGGACAGCTGCCTGGCAAGTCACACCTTCATGTTAACTATAACTCCATCTTCTCTTTGTTGGGGGCCTGGGGAGGCACGGGTGATGACACTTGAGGGATTCCACTCTGAGAGAACAAGTAGGTCGTAAATAAACCCCAGCGGAACAAAGAATCTAAGAGATGCAGCAACCGAAGACAGGATTTCTCAACCCACAACTGGTGAGGAGGAGCAACGAGGGGAGCCAAGGGGGACCCCCCGGGGCTGGGAGAGAGGCGCACAGCCACTGTGGCACCGCAGGCAACATGTCTCGCCTCGGACCTAATCACAGGCGTAGGGGCAGAAGGCCAGCAACAGTCGACAGGAAGACTCCCATCGGCACAGGCCCCAGAGGAAACAGAAGAAGTAAAGGCTGGTGAGAAGTGGTGCACACGAGTGGCGGGGCCACCCTGTCAGAGGAAGACACCCCGGTTTCTGTTAAGAGGCAGCAAGGCTGCTGACCCAGCACGGAGGTTACCGGAGAGGGTGAATGGCCATGGGAACCAGGGAACAAAATGTATTCAGAGTTTCCATTTGTTTTAAAGGCCTTGCATTGGAAACTTGGCTTCGGAGCCACCAAGGGATGGGGGAATGCTTCGTCATGGATAAGAGCTTGTTTTAAAATGGGAAGTATTTCTTTGGCCTGAGAGGTTTTGCCCCTGGAGTATGCACCAAGGATCAGCACTAGGGATGAGATTTATAAACAATCCGGAGAAGCCAAGCACACTGTGAAATTGTCAGCAAATGGCTTTCAATGAGAACAGGTATATGATATTTCATGTAGGGAAAAATAAAACAGATTATCCTTCTCGGATTATGTCTCAGAAAAAGGGACTTAAATCACTCAGATTTTCACCCAAAGACAGACTCAATGTAACGTCAAGAAGGCAGCGACAACCCCGAAAAGGAACGTGGGGTCAATGCAGGGAAGTGTGGGGGAGGGAGTGCCTGCTCAACTTTTTTAAAGATCAAGAATAATGTCTTGAGGGTGCCAAGTACATTCTAATTTGATGAGTGGCCCTGAGGGAGAGACCACCAGGGCACAATTTTTCCCCAAGAATGGCTGCTAGAAACATCTGTCGCATTGGTACACAAATGACTTTCGTTAATGGTGACAGCACATTTTACAGGCATGTTTGCTTTGAAAAGTGGTCTTTTTAAAGTTCTTTGTAAGTTGTTCTTAGCCTATCTACAAACTTTGGGGCATGCCAAGTCCCATCAACCTCCTGGGGCCCAGCGGATTATTTAGAAGCTAATAGAGTCATGGAAACAAACCGTCACAGGCCACTAAGAAGGGCAGCCTCAGAAAGAGCCTCTCGTGAAGGCTCTGCCATGAATAACAAGCTCGTCCAGGAGATGGTCTCTACCCCGGGCAGTTCTGTGCCAGGCTGAGACAACAGTTACACAACAGAGGGACTGGAGGCCAGGCCGGGCACAACGCCCAGAGGGGAAAGACGGTGAAGAAGAGCAGTGTGAAACGACCACCAGAGATGGGAGGGACTGGGAGGCGAGGGTGAGCACAGGTGCGTCTGCAAGCGCAATGGTAAGTTTCTGGTGTTTTTGCTAGCAAAATGGACGTCAGATTTGATTTAATTCAACTTCTTAATCATCCCCTGTTATATCATATTGGGACAAATAAACATCTCTGGACATCAATTTCCCCTTCCGTGAAACAGGAGCAACTGGTATTAGTCCTCCCAGCTCCAGGACAGGTGAGAGAGTTAAGGAGCAAGTAGGCAAATACTACAGTGCCGAGCAGGTAATGCGCATTCGACAAACAGAAGCTATTATTGTTATCAACAAAATAACCCCAAAATGCCGAGCCGAAACCCCAAGGAGGCGAAGCCTACAAAGGACCGCCCAGCTGTGGCCACGCCGCCCGCAGGCCATCGACAAGAGGAAAGCTAACGATCACTAGCTGTCAGCGTGCTCCACACGAGTCCGCCTGCGACGGAGCCACTCCTGTGTCCTGCTTCCAAACACCAGGCAACAAAGAGCACATGGCAGGGAAGCCCAAGGCCATTTCTCCCTAGCGTACTTGCTGGTCTAAAAGACCTAAGGAAATATTCTAAGTGCTGGGGGTTTTTTGAAAGTCCTCCCTCTTTACTCCAAATTAGCTGCCTCTCCCTCTCTCTCTCTGAAACAGCTCTTCGGAACGCACTGTCAGAGTCTCATCTTTTACCTCCCCCACAGCTTCTTTTTATCATGATTCTTTAGGAAAGTTTTCCCTGTGTAGAAGTGGGGAGAGATAGAGCCATGGGAAGGTGGCAGTGGAGAAATCATGTTCCGACAGCAAAGACGGCAATAATTAAGTATCAGCCCGATATTTTTCTTAATGTTGATTAAATTAGAAAATAAAAACCAGTTTACCTGACCCTGAAGTAACTATAAACTGCTGTAACCCCAGATAAACTTCTAAATTGTCCTGAAGAACTGGGAACTGAAAACAAAGAAACAAAGATTAAAAAAAAACAAACAAACATAAATGCAAAATTTAACAGCATTTTAACATTAAAACATTATAAGTATCTATGGGGGGGGCAGGCATCAGATAAAAGAAACTTTTCTCTGGGAACCTTTACAGGCAGCTAAGCAGAAGCGTCTCGATTCAGTGCCCTGCCCCCTCAGCAATTTCTCCAATTCACACCACCAATTAACGTTTGGAATAAGAAAGAAAACAACATTATCAGTTTGATACTCTTTTTCTAAACAAAGCAGTGGATGCTGGGTAGGACTATAATGACTGTCATGTTCCTGAAAGAGGGGACATCAAACCCCAAATGATCTATACCTTCTAGAGCTCGGAGACAGGGCCTATCTATCTCCCTTCAATTCCAAGGGAAACTCTAGTCTGGAAAGAACTACCAGATATGCCTTATTCAAGTGCATAGCAAAATGAAAAGACAGGCCAAATTTTTTGGAAGTCAGATTCCCTTACTCATTTAGCAGACAGGACCTTCATAACCAAAGCTGTATCTTTTCTCTCTAAAGCTGCTCACTCACCATTAAGATATAGATCAGACTTTAATATGACAGGTCCCTATGAAAGACAGCTGACAAAACACAACAGCACTTTCTACAAGAGAACACAAGCCCCCGAAATCATCGTGCCCTTGAAGAGGTAGGCTTAGTGAAATCTCCTCAAATAACAAGCACCACTTCGTGAATGAAAGCAGTCCTTACGCCTAAGATTCTAGCACATAAATATAGGCAGAGTGCTAGCGATGAGCTTTACAACGGCTCGCTTTCCAGCAATGTAATCTTTATAAGTCCTCTACGTGGCCTGGCCATTTTTGAGCTACTGATGCAGGCATGAAGGAAGGCATTAGGAAAATTCATATTACATCCAAGAGTTCAGGAAAGAAAAACAGCACTTCCAAAAGCTGATTTAAAATATTTGGGGGAAATGTTAACATTTGTTAAACTTGAGGTTTGGTTATGGTTATTATTATTCTCTTTAAAAAGAAATAAATAAAATAAAATATATATATATGTACATATACACACACACATACATATATACATATTTTAAATATCGGTGAGCAAAGAAGCTTACTACCCATGCTACATGTGCAGGGAAAACACTAGGCTCTTCATTCCCCTCCAAGAGGCGAGTTACCAGTGTTGAGAAGGCGTGTGTGGGAAGGAGCTCCATCACTTTGGCCACCACCTCCAAGCTCTGGCGCAAATATCGCTGCCACTCTGTCTGCTGCTGCAGGGGAAACACAGAAGGATCAGCTCTCCCAGAAAGGCAGTCTTGACATCTCCCCTGCCCCTTCATCTGCAACCTCAAGTCCACTCTTAGACAGAAGATCTTGAAGAAATGGCAAATGATCAAACCAGGTTACTTAGTACTTGAAAAAGATCAACCTAGAGTATTTTTTAATCCAATGAATTAACTTCATAAAAAGTTATTTCCTCAGAAAGCACATGATCCACAGAGAATGACCTACTTTTCTCCTACGGTCACAGGAATACAGATTTCAAAAAGCCACTTGTGAAGTGTTCAAGTCCCCTTTATGACATCCTAGCTATAGGAAGTGGCTACTCATTCATCACCTTCTGAGACAGTCCATGACTACCTTCCCTTCAGTATAATGGACTACATCAGTGCCACTCAAAGTATGGTCCACAGACAAGACAGCACCAGCATCTCCTGCAGGTCTGTAGGTAATGCAAATTCTGTGGCCCCACCCCCAAATCAAAGTCTGTTTAACAAGCTGTCCCAGTGATTCTCACCCATGCTCAAATATGAGAAGCACTGTACTAAATCACACAGTTAACAAGAAGTTGAAGCTCAAGTTTACCAAGCACACACAATGTGCCAGGCATGTAGCCAGTCCTTCCACAAGCGACCCTCATGTAACTGTCAGCACAGGCCAGTCAGACACATCGCTCCCCTTTCGTGAGAGGAGAAAATTAAGGCTCGGAGAAATTGAAGGCCCAGACTTCTATCTCCTTCGGGTCCAAGGCCTTTGGGTTCCAAGTACAAGGCTCTTTCTAACCCAAACATAGCCACCCCTCAAGATCTTAACCATGCCACCGTCACTGTTATTTTGAAAGCCATACCAGTGACCTGAAAATTCTAAAGTGCATGGTGATTAAGAAAAAGGAACATGGGAATTGTGTCCTTCAACACATTTTCTTTATCCATGATGGGCACACCAGCATCAATAAATTCAGGATTGATTTTAAGATACTGATTTACAACATACACTCAAAAGAGTCTTCCTTTCGTTCTAGGCTTACCAGTTAAGTCATGCTTTATTTCCACCTGCATCCAGCCAGCTTTTTGTTTGTCACCCAGGGTGGGGAGCGGAGGTGTGGGTACGAGGCAGAGGAACGAGAGGAGTACAGAGCCCTTACTAAACCTCTTCTCACTGTGCGTATGGTTTCTCTGCTCATATCTCTAGTCCATACAGATAAAAATGCCTGTCAACTTCCTTTTACAATTAACGAACCCACAAAGACAAATAGGATATACAGCTGACCTTTAAACAATAGGGGTTTGAACTGCGCAGGTCCACTTATATGGGATTTTTTTTCAATAAACAGTACAGTACTGGAAATTTATTTTCTCTTATGATTTTTTTTTTTTAAAGATTTTATTTATTTGAGAGAGAGAGAATGAGAGAGAGCACATGAGGGGGGGAGGGTCAGAGGGAGAAGCAGACTCCCTGCCGAGCAGGGAGCCCGATGCGGGACTCGATCCAGGGACTCCAGGATCATGACCTGAGCCGAAGGCAGTTGCTTAACCAATGGAGCCACCTAGGCGCCCTCTCTTATGATTTTCCTAATAACATTTTCTTTTGTCTAGCTTACTTTATTGTAAGAATACAGTATATAATACATATTATAAAATATGTGTTAATTGACCATTTGTTGATAAGACTTCCAGTGAAGTTTTGGGGGAGTCAAAAGTTATACTCAGATTTTTGACTATGCAGGTGGTCAGCGCCTCTAAGCCCTGCACTGTTCAAGGTCAGCTGTAAAGTTCAAATGCACAACTCAAACTGTGAGACTACTCTGGCTCCAGAGCAGAGCTTACAGATTCCCAGTCTCCATCTGGACTCACACCAAAAACGACAATGACTAAGGTCGATTAGGACACGCCGCTTACATCGTCATCCAGAGTCTCGTCATCCAGCTCCTCCAACTGGGCCTGGTTGTATCTGAACTGGATTCGATTCAACACCTCCGTGAGCAAAAGGACTAGAGCGTCTTCGTACCTACATGGCAGGGAGAAATTCAACATCAGGTGACAGCAGGCTTTTAGTCTTGAAAAGTCCTCCTGAACTATGAGAAAGAACGGCGTCCCTGCTGGATTACCACATACAAGCAGCACGTGAACTAGATTTAGTTTGTGGGTTGAAAGAGCGTGTGCAGGGTGGAATGGTAGCAGGGGTATTTCTTCATTTCACCATGTTCCAGGCACCTTCTTGATGGACGGATGGATCCATCTGGACTGAGGGACGGAAGGATCATTAGATCATTAGATGACGTCCTTCTCTGTCCCTGGCAGCCACACTTTTTTTTTTTTTTTTTTTTAAGTAGGCTCCACACTGGGCCTCTAACGACCCTGAAATCAAGACCTGAGCTGAGATCAAGAGTCAGACACTTAACTGACTGAGCCACCTGGGCACCCCACCCCCACCCCCAGCAGCCACTCTCATCTTCAAGTCTATTCTGCCTGATATTAGCATAGCTACCCCAAATCTCTTTTGGTTACTGTCTGCATGGAACAGCTTTTACTTTCAACCTATTTGTGTCTCTGAAACTGAAGTGAGTCTCTTACAGACAACATGTAGTTGGATCATGTTTTTTTAATCCATTCTGCCAATCACTGCTTTTTAAACCAGAGAGGTTAATTCTTCACATTTGATGTCATTACTGCTAAGGAAGGACTTCTGTCACTGTGCTACTTCTTTCCTCTAGGTCATGGCTTTCGTTCAGTTCCTCCATGACCACCTCCTTTTGTGTACAGACATTTCCTAGGGCGCCATTTTCATTCCCTTGTCATTCCTTTCACCACGCATTTGTTCTATAGTTGGCCCTGGGGATTACAGGTAATTATATATAAATATCAATTTATACTGATTCAATATATGATTCAATAATTCAATCCTTTTAACATCTGTGAGAGGTAGATGGTATTACTGGTGTTTTTCTGACGAGGCAACCACAGTTAAAAGAAGTTAAATAAAATGCCCAAGGTCACCAAGCTAGGTGATTTGAACCCGGGCTTCCATAACTCAACATCCCATGCTCTCTGCGTAAACCACCAATGGTCTTTGAGCCTGCTCTGCCCACTCCCCAAAACCTTACCTTCAGTCAAATTTTAAGAACACTTAAACACCTAAAGGAATAAATGGAAAAAGCTTGGGGAAACCCTGCCCCTTTGACCTATATCTAAGAACTTCTGGAAGAAAACATTGAAAGCCCCAGGTCTGGGTATCCCCCACACATGGGAAGAACCTACTTCAGAAGACACCAAGTTACCTGCAGCAGTTGTACCACAAGGGCCACTAATTTTCAAGAACAAACCAGCTGCCTAAACGTCTGTCTGTCCTGAAGCATTTCTAAGATAGGTTCAAGAACTACTCCCCCTCATAAAGCTGAGCACCCATGCCAGGCCCTCAGCACCGGTCTAAGCCGTCCTCCGGGCTGCTGGAGCTGCGAGTGCACAAAGCACCCCTGTCCTCCGCCTGGAGCTTCTGCAGCAGGGGCACCGCAGGGAGACCGAGCGACAGAAGGGGCACAGGGACACCATTCTTCCTGTGGGCTCACCATCCTGGCAGTGTCACCCAGCCAACACTCACCTGGAAGCAATACATGGGTCCACTTTTAGCTTCCCCATGCCTAGACCCCGCCTCAGGCACTCTCAGAGGTGCCAGCAGCAGCCAGCCTGCATCCCCTCCTCTACGCCGTGAGTACCAGCTCCACCAGGCCCTCCTCTGAGCTCCCAGGGCAACTGGGCACCACCCCCGCCTCAGAGACCTGCGCTCCAGGGGCATGGGGTCCAGCCCTCTGATCTAGACTTTAATAACTCCACCTCTTCCCTTTGTACCCTCAGCCCTAGGGGTGGGGCTCTTCTTGTAGTTCTCATCTGCTTTATGTCGGTGCTTCCTTCTTGCTCTTCCAATCCTCCGGCGCCAGTTTCACCAATTTCCTACACTGAATTCTTAAAATAATTAAGTCTGGTTTCCATCTTCCTGACAGGACTCCACCTCATAAACCATCTAATCCAATGCAGGTGAGTCATGGGACAAGCTAACCATAGCTAAAAGGTATCCAATGCCAAGATCAAATACAGTCTATCTAGTCTAAGTTACGACCCCTGTAATGAGACTCTGTACAGACAGTCTAAAGACTTCATTAGCATTCTCCTGAAATGTCAAATTGCAGAGTTTGGTGGGCACAAGAGCTCATTTTTCCACTAAGACAGAAACACTGACCACCCCTCCCCACAGTGTTTGCAAATGATTTAACCTAGGCCAGATGGGCAACTGAGCATGGCCCAGAAACAAATACTGGCGGCGAAAATCACTAATAAGATAGGCAGCATCTGTGGCAAAAATTGCCAATAGCCTCAAAATTCCATTTCAGTAGACTTCAGAGGAAAAGGTAAGATCAAACACATAAGTCTGGAGCTTGTATTTGCCATTTGCTCAGACAGAAATTCCTAAAGTTAGTTACAGAAGTTCTATGCTATAAATTGCTATGATGGACCAACACATCTTCACAATTTTGCTAGGAAAGAAAATCCACTTCAGACCAGAGGGCAGAAGAAACCTGTCATCTACAAATTGTCTTGCTGAACTAAAAGGGAATTTAGAGATTTTGTATGCATAGGCTAACCCTAAATTAGACCTAAAACCCTACTGGCAGTCAGCAACTCTGGCTGCAAAAAAAAAGCTTATCTAAGCATAGAAAATTAAACCCAATTAGAAACCAGGCTAAAGCACACTTAGGTAGTAATTGCTCCCCCAAAGTATTTGATGAAGGTGGGGAGAGCATATGGGTGTGGCAGACTCTGGCTGCCTACCCAATACCCATTCTTCCTTTCTCCCTCAGTTAGACAACTGGGCACTGAGGTCAACTGGAAGACTACATTTCCCAGCCTCCCTTGCAGATGGCAGTGGTTGAGGACATATTAAGAAAAGTCATTAGGTAGGGGCGCCTGGGTGGCTCAGTTGGTTGAGCAACTGCCTTCAGCTCAGGTCATGATCCCGGAGTCCTGGGATTGAGTCCCACATCGGGCTCCCGGCTCAGTGGGGAGCCTGCTTCTCCCTCTGACTCTCTCCCCTCTCATGCTGTTTCTCTCTCTCTCTCTCTCTCAAATAAAGTCTTAAAAAAAAAAATTTTAAAAAAATTAAAATTAAAATTAAAAAAAAGAAAAGTCATTAGGCAGAGCCTCTGGAAAAGCATCTTTTGTCCAACCTCTCCCCTTCTCATTCCTGCTATCTGAATCGTAGTGTGATGTCTGTAAATGCAGCATCCATCTCTGACCACAAGGTGACTGTGGAGATGGAAGCCATGCCTGAGGCAGGTAAAAGGATCCAGAATATGAGTAAACATACAAAGAATGAGGAGGCACTGACCATTTATCAAGGGAAAGACGAGAGAAGCCGACCTAGAGATGACAACACACTGGAATTACCAAAGACTTTTAAGGCAACTATTATAACCATCTTCCGTAAGATTTTGCAGATAGAAGATGCTGGGGACTGAATTGGGTCCACTCAAAATTCTTATGCTGAAGCCCTAACCCCCATGTAACTATATTTGGAGATAAGGCCTATAAAATGGCCAGTGGTATTTTGTTATGGCAGCCTGAGCTGATTAACACAGTAGGTAAATGATCATGAGAAAGAAACCTGGCATTTCAAGAATGAAGGACAAAAGAAAGAAAATTGCCAAGTGTCTGGGTAAATACCATTTCTCTAGTATTTTCCAGTCTGCTTCTCTCCTCTTAAGATCTTTAAAACAGGGGTGCCTGGGTGGCTCAGTCGGTTAAGTGTCTGCCTTCGGCTCAGGTCATGATCCCAGGGTCCTGGGATCAAGCCCTGCATCAGGCTCCCTGCTTGGTGGGAAGCCTGCTTCTCCCTCTCCCACTCCCCCTGCTTGTGTTCCCTCTCTCGCTGTGTCTCTCTCTGTCAAATAAATAAATAAAATCTTTAAAAAAAAAAAAGATCTTTAAAATATTAATGATGGATGAAAGCAAAATAAAACATTGTCTGACGGGGTTTTCCATGGATACAGATGTAAAATATGGCAACCTCAATACAAAGAAGGGAGGGGAAAGGATCTATGTGGTGGTAAGGTTTCTACTTATACTTGAAGTGGTGAAATGTTAATGTGAAAAGCAAATACACTGTAATACCAGAGCAAGCTCTAAAAAACTCAGAGATATCATCAAACAATAAATATACTGAAAAGGGAAACTAAATTTGTGTGAAACTAACAACAGAGTCTCAAAATAAATGAAGCAAAAATGATAGGGCTGAAAGGAGACCCACAAATATACACAAAGAGCTCGCCTCTGTCCCACAGACAGAACATGACAGAGGACACACAGAATGTCACCGCCAACCTGACCTAACCGACATCTATAGAACACCCCATCAGAATAATCACCAAGAAGACTAAGTCATTAAACAAACCTCAGGAAATTGAAAAGAACTGAAATCACACAAACTATGTCTGCAGATCATAGTAACTAGAAAATAGTAACAACAAGATAGATGGGAAATCTCCAAATATTTGGAAGTTAAAAAACAAAGCGAAAACCCCAAGAGAAATTAGAAAATCTCTTCAGCAAACAGGAAAACAGAACATAGGACAATCTGATGGACACAGCTGAAGTAGTACTCAGAGGGAAATTTGTAGCATTACATGCTTAAACATGCAACGGAGATAAACCTATAGACCTGGGTGGCTCGAGCCACAAATGTGATTCCAAAGCACCCTAACACTTGGGTTAACTAAAAATGTACATGGAAGCAACTACACAGTAGGTGTTCAGTAAACAAACAATGCGTGAAAAGTACAAATGAACAAAAAAATGAATAAATGCACAGGCAAGAAACAGACAAAAGTCCAAGTCAGGCAACTACAAAGGACTGAGGCAGGACCCTAGACCGCTTTCTCAACTCAATGAATTAACTGAGACTCCAATCACTTGATCTCTGGGTCCATCAACAGCATGAATTTCTCCTCACAGGACCTAGAAAACTACTGGAGCCCTGACACAAACCTAGTTATCACCTTTTATTAACTGTATCAAAATGCCACGTGCCACATAGGCACTTCCTTTTTGTTAAGCAGAAAAACCCATCCGGAAAGAAAGGGGAGCAGGTTTTCTCACGCTCACCCACATTTGTTTACAGTCCAACCCAGCGTCACTCAGAATCCCTGGCTGGTTTGTGGCCAGTACTTGCCAGTACTCTCACGACAAAGGGGCTCACAGGACATGACTCAATTACTTTAGGTTGCTTAACTCCCTTCAGGTTTCCTCATCTTCCTGTAAAAATAAGTTTCTACACAGGTGGCTGCTTTCACAGTGACAAGCACAAAGAGAAGGGAGTGAGGGAGAGAGAACAGAAGAGAACCAGTACTTAATCACTACTGTCAGCCAAGGTACTGAACACGCACCAGTTCACTTCCTTTTCTCAACAGCTTCTAAGTAGACACAACCCTCCCCAGAGTAGAGCAGAGGAAAAGGAGACTGAACTTCAGGTCTTCCCAAACCACCACCTGAAAATGGCCAATCTGGACAACGAAACTCCCAACAGCAGCTTTGCTCAGCTGGCTATGTTACAGAACACATTCCTTTGACAGTGGGACGCAAGTCCCCAGCAGCTCTGATCAAGAAACTCTTGAGCATTCTCACTGAGTAAGGAACATGCAGAGCTCCAATTTCCAAGCTCCTAGGTCCAAAAATAAATCCATGTACATTTGTGCTTCTAAATTTATAGCCTACAATGCCTACACCACTTTGTTGTGATGAATGATGCAAAACCTGTAAACCACAAGTGACAGGAACTGAGTGCTGTCTCTGTAACTTAACCACACCTACGTTTCCCATTTAAGACACCAAGAAAACATTCTTGACTAGTTCCTGCAAGATCAGTTGCTTCTGAAATTCTGGCTCAAGCCACCAATGTGATTCCAAAAGCACCTCAACTTCTTTCAGATGAATTTTATCAGCTGAAAAACATTTGATCACATTTATGTGCTTTATTAAAATGAGTGGGTCATTACCAATAGCCAGAGCTCTTTATCAGTCCTTCTGCAAAACAGCACATGTCTGACACATCAGGGTCTCTTAGAACCTAGAACAGTGGTCACATTTCAAAACTTTTCTTAAGGACGTGAGCGCACACCTGCATAAATATATAGTGTAAGAGGTGACAGGAAAAATACAGACATTAAAATTCAACTATTTTCGGGCGCCTGGGTGGCTCAGTCGTTAAGCGTCTGCCTTCGGCTCAGGTCATGATCCCAGGGTCCTGGGATCGAGTCCCACATCGGGCTCCCTGCTC